AAGCGCCACAAGAGTTTCCTAACTACCGAGTTACACAGGGACTGTTGTTTGAGCAAACAGACGTGCATGACAGGCTTTGCATTCCAAATGTGGAAGAGATCAAAAGCTTGATCTTGGGGGAGTGTCATGATACTGAAGGCCATTTTGGCTGGAAGAAGACTTATGAAGGCCTGTTGCGTTCCTACACATGGCCTCGCATGAAAGCTGACAGCATTGCATATGTGCAAGGTTGTCAAGTGTGCCAAAGAAACAAGAGCACTACTCAACCTCCCCTTGGGCTACTAAAGCCTTTGCCGATTCCAACAGGTCCAGGAGACTCTGTATCCATTGATTTTATGGATACCAAGGTGAAAAACACTAATGGAAAGATGCAAGTCATGGTCATCGTTGACAGATTTAGTAAGTATGTTGTATTCGTAGCATTACCAGCGAGTAATCCGAGAGTTCTTTAACCATTGGGTAAAGGACAATGGACATCCCTTAACGATTGTGAGTGAGAGAGATTCACGTTTCACGAGTGAACAATGACAACGACTCATGAATGTCTATGGCTCTAAGTAAACTATGTCATCAGGTAGACACCCTGAGACAAACGGCCAGATTGAGCAAATGAATAAGATTTTGCAGCAGACATTGCGCATGTACATCCGTCCCGACCAGATTGACTGGGATGAACATTTGCCCAAAGTTGCTAGTGCCTATAACAACTTTGTTCACCTATCTACATGCAAGACTCCGATGGAACTGCATTTGGGATGGCGACCACGTAGACCCGTTGATCGCTTAAATCCGGATCAAGTACATAAGCTTCCTCTAGGAAGAAGTGCATTTGCAATACGGTATCAGCAAGATATTGAAAAGGTAAAGGAAAATATAGTAAAGGCACAACACCAAATGGTGGAACAGGCAAATAAGCATAGAAGACCATCTCAATTCGCTGTAGGTGATTTGCTGTGGGTTAAGTTCAAAGAATTTGCTCCTGAGGAGAACATTTCTCAGAAGTTACTACCCGCCTACAGAGGACCTTGGCAAGTTCTTGATATGATTGGAGAGGTAGATGGACCTTCTTATGTAGTTGAGATTCCTCTACATTTGCATACGTATCCGGTGTTCCACGCCTCAAAGCTTCTACCTTGCGTGACAAATGAGTTGTTTCCCAGTCGCAGATCAGCGATACCTCCTAGTATGGATGGGAAATATGATGTGGATAAGATTGTTGCTGAAAGCACTTTCCAAACCGGACGAAGAGGCAGGCCCCAGCGACAATATAAGGTAAGATTCGCTTATCAGGACCCAAGTGAAGATCGCTGGTTTACAAGAGAAATTACTTGAGTCTGCACCTCACATTGTATCTGTGTATGAAAGAGCTAAAAGAGGAATAAATATTATTGATAGATGAAGGTTTTTCTCAGAGGACTTCGAATCTAGGCCGGCGAGAGTAAAAGGGCCTTTACCTGATTCAGCCCCTGTTTGACAAAAGCAACATATTGGGGTTCCTCGCCCAGAGCCCAATTCGTGAAAGCAGATTAAAAGACATGTTCTCTGGGTCAAAGGCCACATCCTGGCTAAAGTAAAGACAATGTCAAAGGTCATGGTTGGGCCCTGGACGAACGGTCACCATGTTTAGATTTGGAGGTCACATCTGTTCGCCAAGGGCAATGCAAGTCGTGTCTATTCAAACAAGAGATGTGTCTGTTCGTGCAGAAAGAGTGTCTGTTCGTGCATTGGGTGTGTCTGTCCGGCAGAAGTCAAAGAGTTCAGTTCCAGTCCAGATTCGAGGCAGAAAGGAAGTCTAGATTCAGATTGGGAGTCCGAAATCATGGCCTGAAGGCCGCAGCAGCAGCAACCCCTGAAGGAAAGGGATCTGGGACACATACACAGAGGCTGGGACTGGGAAAGGACCAGGACAGGCAAAATTCAGACCTCGCCAGGGGAGGCCAGCACTATAAGAAAGGAGGCAGCCTTCCCCACAGACAGATTCCCATTGGCATTGATGCGTGGAAGTGCTGAGGCACTTGTGCGCTATAGTGCAGGGAGTTGGGCGCTGAAGAAGAAGCTGCGCCAGGGAGGAAATGAGGGTGGGCGCTGGCTGTAGGGAAGCCATAGCTGCGCTAGCCTATGTTAGTAGTAGAAGGGTTAGTAAGTAGGCATCAGTGAGTGACATTCAAAGTAGA